GGTGAGGTGGGCAGAGGTGAGGTTGGCAGAGGCGGATGTGAGGTGGGCGGAGGTGAGCGTAGGTGGAGGCGGGAGCAGAGAAGAACTGGCAGGGGAACGCCGAGGGAGAAGTGGTAGAGGAATCCCAAGGGGTGGGGGGAGGCGGAGGGGAGGGGACCGAGGGGCGGAGGCGGAGGTGAGGTGGCCCCCAAGCGGAGAAGTGGTGGGTGGAGGCAGGGAGGAGATGGTGGGCGGTGGCGGAGGGGAGGTGGGCGAAGGCGGAGAGGAGATGGCAGGAGGAGGCGAAGGGGAGGTGGGCAGAGGTGGAGGCGAGGTGGGTGCCGGACGGAGAAGAGGATGGCAGAGGCGGAGAGGAGATGGTGGGCGGAGGCCGAGAGGAGATGGTAGGCGGTAGAGGAGGGGAGATGGCTGGAGGAGGCGGAGGTGGGGGGCTGTGGAAGGCGGGAGCGGGTGGCGGAGTCGAGGTGGGCAGGCGGGAGGGCCTGTTGGACTTCAATGGASKGAAAGAGTGGAGATGGCTGGAGGAGGCGGAGGTGGGGGGCTGTGGAAGGCGGGAGCGGGTGGCGGAGTCGAGGTGGGCAGGCGGGAGGGCCTGTTGGACTTCAATGGAGGGAAAGAGTGGAGATGGCTGGAGGAGGCGGAGGTGGGGGGCTGTGGAAGGCGRGAGCGGGTGGCGGAGTCGASGTGGGCAGGCGGGAGGGCCTGTTGGACTTCAATGGAGGGAAAGAGTGGAGATGGCTGGAGGAGGCGGAGGTGGGGGGCTGTGGAAGGCGAGAGCGGGTGGCGGAGTCGACGTGGGCAGGCGGGAGGGCCTGTTGGACTTCAATGCAGGGAAAGCGCCGGCCTGCAATGGGCCCTATTTCCAACAGGCGCTGTCGAGCGCATCGGTCCGGCACCGCATCAGGGCAGCGCGGGACCCTCCCGGCCGCGTCACGCAGGAGTTGGTTTAAAACCCTTCGTCTCAATATACATGGAGCTTCCACAAGCCGCTCCGGCCGAGTGCGCCAGCCATACCTCTCGCGAGCCCCTACGACATGATAGGGCCTACGCAAGGCACGACTTACCTACACCTTACGGGAGTTGTCACCTCCCTTCGGTGGGCGTATCCCCGCCGAGCTACCAGTCCACAGTACGAAAGCTAATCAGTTGCAATCGCAGAGGTGGACCAGCCAAGGGCGTTTCTCGTTCGCTGTCGCATAGGGGGTACGCGTGGTAATACGCCTCTATCGGACCCGCACGCGAACCGACATCTTGGGGGGCTGAAGTCCCAAGTGCGGCTCGTCGTCGGTCGACTAGGACGTATCCCATACACCACGCGCACACCACTTTACGAACACAAAAATAAAACACACACACGCACATACACACACTAAACGACACAACACAAACAACGCGACAACGCTCCTAGCCCCTAGGTAGCGTCCCATAACTTTCCGATGCGGAAACCGAATAGGTGTCACGCGCGAGACTTAGTATAAAACCGCGCGGACGCAGGGCTAACTCATATCGACTCGCAATGCAAGCGTACGCAAGCAGTCGCAATGATGGCGTACTATATAGTGCCCATAATTAAGCGGTCCCTCGTGGATCCGAGTACCGCTTATGACACTCAAGTGTCAGATTCGAAGTGTCGTGAGGGTCTAATCCTTCACGACATTGCACGGCTGAAGGGATAGTCGTGCAGCCGCCGCGAGACCTCCGGCCTTTGGTCTGAGCGTCTCGATAGGCAAGGCAAATAGGCTCTGCGCGGGGGCAGGTTCCCTCCCTGCAGAGTCTAAGGCTTGGGATGTCCTGGACAAGGACCTCGAATCCCGGTCCAAGACCAACGTCCGACTATAGAAGTCTCTAAAGAGCAAAGGATAAAAGGGGATCTCCCTTCTCTCTCAGCCATAATCCGGTTAACCCTTAAGCACAAATACAGTAGGTCTCTCAAATGCTCAGGGTACTCGTAAATATATGAGGGTTAATTTTACGGGACGATCACTTCTCACAGTCACAGTGGGGGTTCCTCTCTGCCATATATATATTTATGTGAGCGCAGGCCGTCAAAATCCCAAGTCCGATCCACAAACATACCTGCAATCACATCGAAAATTCAACCAAAGGCCCACACGCTACACGGAGTCAACCCCAACCACCTTCGACACTCGTACCCCTCGCTTTAGCCATGCAAACCCCAAACCTCTTGTCCAACCAACCTTAACTAAAATACTCAGTACCTTTGTTAAATGGCCATTCAATACAAGTCCGGGTGAAACTTAATGAAACAAACGAAATCACCAGGGCTAAAGCCTTTTAGGTTGAGTGCGGAGGGAGAGTTGAAATTTAGTCGTAGACCGACGAATCGGCAACCGACCTGTTATCAGTGATAACAGAAAGTGATCCTCAAGGGATCAAGCTGGATCTAGCCCTGAACTTGGATCAAAAGATCAAAAAGACCTGTAACACACGACAGACCAATCCCCAAGCTAAGATCATAAGTGTATGGAGAATACAACTCCATAATACATCCTCCCTCAAAATCTCCTTATAGGCTAAACCTGAGTCTATTTTTAAGTCAGTGCTTAAGCCAAAGGTAGACCAACTGCAGAATCTCCCCTATTCTGGGTGGATCGTCTGAATCACCTCCTGTCAAAATATAATCTATCTCCTCTAAACTAAGAAAATTTCGGCAGCGCTTCCCGTAGGAAAAGAGCCTTTCCAGAATTTATATAAGCTCAAATATAAACGCATAAATAACTCCTGGAAAGTCAAATTTTGTCTAACTCCCTGATTTAGTAAAAATTTGGGCATCAGTCCCTTTGCAAAGGGAGACTTCCCAGATTTATACTAAGTCAGATTTGAACTCACAAGACAAATCTGAGTTCAATTTAATTAAGATTTAACTAACTCCTCAGTTTTGCAGAAATTTCGGCAGCACTCCCTCTAGAAAAGTGCTCTCCCAAAACTTATACAAAGCGAGGTTCAGAATTTTGAGAATAACTTTGACTTCTCAAAGTCCAATTTTGTCTAACTCCCTGAATTAGTAAAAATTTGGGCAGCACTCCCTCTAGAAAAGGAGACTTTCAAGATTTATACTAAGCCATATATGAAAAAGACAAATTGAACTCTGACAAGTCAAAAGTTGACTAACTTCTTGGATTTGTAGAAATTTCGGCAAAGCTTCCCGTAGGAAAAGTAGCTTGCCAAGATTTATACAAAGCCAAGTAAAAGAAAAAATCTCAGAAAGTGCAGGAATTGACCTAAGTAAAAAAAATTATTACAGAAAATGCAGGAACTGACACTAACTCCTATGGCTCTAGCACGTGGCGAGCAACTAGAGCAACTACCTTTAAAACTGAAACCCAAACAAACTAGTCATCCCATCTCGTCACATGCAAACCAAACCACGAATGTAAGTACTCTCACCATCCCAAGTTCATTCCATATAAATAGTTCGTGAATTTTCAAGTTCTTGAATCCTTATACCCATCTTATATAAGACATAGAGTTGGACCATTCACCATGGAAACAATGCCCAACTTGTCTTTATGGTATACACGAACAGGTTGCACAACTACTTCTCTCTTCTTTTGGGCAGATGACTAGGCCATTCGCCATGGAAACAATGCGTAGTCGCCCTGAGCTGTTTAATATCCAAAGATTTAGTATTTCTCTGACTTTGTTTTCAAAAGAAAAGGCAAATATGGGCAGGGGACTGAACCATTCACAGTAGAAACAATGATCAGCTTGCCCAAACTATTTCCATTTATACTCTGTATTTTCCCTTTTCTCTTCTTAATGATATGGCTTAACTCTGGACCATTCACAGTAGAAACAATGCCCAACTGCCAGTTCACATGCAAATATACATAAAGTATTTTCCTTTATACTTAGTTTAATTTATGTGCGTGGTTTTCAGGCTAAACCATTCACCATGGAAACAATGCTTAGCCTTAGACCAAAAAAATCCTTCCCTCAGAATAAACAAGAATTTAAACCCTTCAATCAGGCAAACCCTCAAAGTTAACTAGAGTAAACAGACCATTCGCAGTAGAAACAATGCCTGGTCCTCCAGAAAACAACTAAATAAACATAGCAATCAGGCCATTCACAGTAGAAACAATGCCTGGTCCTTCAGAAAACAGCCAAATAAACATAGCCCTGAGCCATTCACAGTAGAAACAATGCTCAGGCTTTGGTTGACCCTTCCAAACGCACGCAAAACTACCTTCCTCCCATCTTCCCCCATTCATTCCTTAGTCTGCTTTCAATCCAAACAAAAGAGAAACTTTAACTTCACTCTCACACATTCTTTCCCTTTAGTCTGATTAGGTCCTGAAGAGAAAACAATAGTCATAGGGACAAACTCATGCATACATCAATCATACTACAGGGAGATAGGCAAACATGGGTAGTAGTGGGTTATACAGATGACGTGAATTTACCTGATGGTTCCCTGCCTTCAGAACCTCGCCTAGGTTCCAGCAGAGCTCCCGCAATCGGTGGGTGGACTCCCCACAGAGTCTTGGTGCGGGCCTACGGGTTGCAAGCCCGCCTGCCGCCTTCCTCTCAGAACCAACAGACTAGACTTAGAGTAAGAAGGGCAGCAGGAGATAGGTTTGAGACTCTCAGATCCAAGAAAGGTGCTCTCAGACTCGCGGGAGAGGGCCTTGATACCTTCATACGCCTGAGGGCCCCGCAATGGCGGCCAACTGACAACTTGGTCAAAGACTTCAGACTGTCGACGTGACCCCTCCTGAAGAGCCTCCCAACTCACAGCACCACCTCCCGTCTATCCCGACACTTCTCCTCTGTCCACACACAACCACTCAACAACAAAAATCGGGCAAAACAGCGGCAACAATAACACGCAGTGACTAGCAACAACAGTCCCTTCGTGGATGCCAATGCCCCGCATTCGCAACCCGCACGCCGCAGCTTGTGGCTCAGTCCCTAGCGCAGCAGTCGTGCACCGCGACGGTCACCAGCAACTGCAGTAATCACCCTCAGCGGGCAGTAATAACAGTTCTGCGTGTAGTACGCAGCCGCGCCCTACACACTATGGTCAACAAGCCGTAACTATGTACGGTAAAAAAAAAACAGTAGCAACGCCACACAGTCCTCCGCAGTTGTAGGTCTGCAGGGTGCAACCGCCTTCCCTAAACAAATGTGTGCAGGCCGCCATATGCAGCAACGAGGCGCCAGGGGACGCAACAGCCCACGGTACCACCAGCAGCAGCTGCAGTTGTGAAACTCAGCAGCAACAACCCTTACCGACAGGGCCGCACATGGCCAAGAGCAACAACACCACAGTCCCAACAACTCCCTCAATGGGTTGCCTTCGCAGCGATAACCCACCCCTCATCACACCGGACGCTGGTCATGGAAGCTAGTTAGCAAGCTGAGGTCTCGTTTGTTAACGGGGTTAACCAGACAAATCACTCCACCAACTAAGAACGGCCATGCACCACCACCCATAGAATCAAGTAGGAACTCTCAATCTGTTAATCCTTGTTACCTCCCTCTGCAAGATGGGAAGGCACCTATCAACAACAGTTAAACTGTGATCCGACCCTTCCCCCTCTGCTACCTCATAGCTGGGGTGGTAGCGTTCTGCCTGTACGTAAGTCCTCTGCCCTCTCTCTCTCTATGCGTGAACCTCAGTCGCTAAGCCTGCTATTCTTACTTCAATGACCGACACCTGGCCAAGGCTTTTAAACGAACACTCCGTTAAAATGATAATGCATACATTCCACTTTCAACCATGCTCACAGAGAGATGGAGAGCGGCTATTCTAC